TATATATGTGTGTGTGTGTGTGTGTGTGTGTGTGTGTGTATAAAGAATTTTTAAAATTTCTTACCATATTTATAATTTCTGAATGGTGGTGGCAAGCTGGTCCTTAAAGGAACATCTATAAGAGAAAGATAACTTTGATTACAAAATATTCAAATGAACAGTCTAAATGTATGCATAGTCTTTGGTTCTATTCTCCTAGATGTACAGACTCAGTTACTTTGGAAAAACTGATAGACACAAAATATAGCTACCATACCATCAAACTCCCAAGTGTCATCCAGAATAATGGAAACATTGGTAAGATGTTGACTGAGCTGCTATTAGCTGAACAAAGAATTCAGTAACACTATTGAAAGTTTTGGTATTCTGTTAAATACAACACTATCTATATACATCTGTAATATATAATATAAATATGTGAGACATTTTCATTTCCTACATGGTTAATGTTGGTTTGGCATATGAATCTGAGAACTCAAGAGTCTTTGGCTGTAGTGAGAACCAATGATCAAGAGCAATCTCATTCCTCTTATCAAAATTCAGATAACCTATAAAATAACTCCTCTAATTCAGTAAAGAAAAAAAAGCATAGAGTAAATATACTTCTACAAACATATTCCAAGGCCCGCTCCATGGCACAAAAGCCTGATCCCATACGGTGAGGGTGATTTGAATCTCCAGCACAGTTTTTTTGAAACATGCTAGGCATGTGTGCAAGTGCCCAGGATCTGGCAGGCTGTATGGCTGCAGGAAGGGGACTGCAGTGTGACCAGATCCTGTGGAGTGTTCCTCTTTCCCATTCAGTCCCACATGCACAAGCAAGTACTTTACCATGAATACATTTTTAAAGATTAAAAATACATATTCCAACACCAGTGTTGATTTTAATTAACAACATCTGACGGGACAAACCCCAAAGAGGGAAATTTGGTAATACATACTAAAATGACATATGCATATACTCCTTGACCTACCCATTCCATTCTAGGAATTGACCATAAAGACCTACTTTTGCATATACACATGTATGTGTGAGATAACATGTACACAAGGATACTAACTACAGCACTGTGCACAGTAGCAAATGCTCAGAGAAATCTAAATGTCCTTCCATGCAGCATAGGTTAAATAAATTATAACATGCCCAAACAATGAGTAATGGTATTTTTCAACCATTTAAAAAAAAACAGCTTTCTACAAATATGGCAAGATCTTCAATATATGTGATTGCTAGGCCCAACTGTAGTTTCTCAGGCAGTAGGTACCACTGCAGGGTAACAGAGCCATAAGGAAAGGCCCCAAGTTTGGATCCCAGGTTGAGCTGAACATGGTTCCTTCCTGGTTGGCTAGAAGGCTCCAGGGAGGATTGTGGTGTAGTGAGGTCCTGTCCAGGGCTACCCCTCCCCTTTATGAAATAAATGAATAAAATTTTAAAAAGAAAGAAAAAAGTCCCACAGAAAAGAGTTGTTTAAAAAACCACTATTTTTTGTAAGCCCCCTTTTGAGTAAAAAGGAAGCAGGATGAGAATACATGTTTATATTTGCTTGTACTTGAATGGGGCGAGAGGCATGGTGCACAGAAAGAGTAGACAGACTTTCACTGCATTTCTTTTTACATTTTTTTTTTTTTTGGAGAGGTTTTTGCTATAGGGCACGTGCGCTCACCAGAAAGACAGAGAGAGACAGAGAGACAGAAAGTGAGAAATCACCCCCCAGGGAGGATGGCCACGCCGCAATCCCTTCTCCTCTGTTGTCCTCTTGGGATCTTGGGCACGCACGCACACGTGCCCAGGGTGAGTTTAAGCCACTGGGTCCGGGACTCGAACCAGAGTCGACTACGTGGAAGTCCAGAGACATGGCCATTACACTAACTGCTGGTCCCTTTTTACATTTTTTTAAAGAGAGATTTTTTTGCTATAGGCATGTATGCGAGATTTTTTGTGCTATAGGCATGTGTGCGCACTGGAGAGACAGAGAGACAGAAAGCAGGAAACCACACCCCAGGGAGGATGACCACGCCACAATCCCTTCTCCTCCATTCTGTTCTTGTGATTTTGGGAATGTACTTACACGCATCCAACATGAGGTTTAAGTCATGGGGTCCAGTACCTGAACTATGGTCAACTACACGGGAGTCCAGGGATGTAACCATTATGCCATCTGCTGGCCCTTCTTTCTACATTTTTATCCTAAAGCCACATGAACATGTTGTCTATTAAGAAAAGCAGGGCCAGCCGGTGGTGTGGTGGTTAAGGCAGCTAGATCCAACATACCCAACTGCATAGTTCAAGTCCCAGACTCAGTAGCTTAAAAAACATGCCAGGCATTGGGACCAGCAGTTGGCGTAATGGCTATGTTGCTGGACCATGTAGTCAACTATGGTTCGAGTCCCGGACCCAGTGGCTTAAACTCACACTGGGCACGTGTGCGTGCATACCCAAGATCCCGAGAGGAGAATGGAGGAGAAGGGATTGCAACGTGGTCATCACCCCTGGAGGGGGTGATTTCTCGCTTTCTATCTATCTGTGTCTCTCTGTCTTTCTAGTGAGCGCACGTGACCAACCACCCCAAAAAAAAAAAATCCCATGCAGGGCATCACCCCCCAAAAAAAAAAAATCCCATGCAGGGCATGTGTATATGCCTGCCCAGAAAGAGAAAGAAATAGAGATGGGGTTGTGGCATGATCACCCACCATGGGAGATGCTTTCTCACTTTCACCCTCTTCTCTTTCTCCAGTGAGCACATGCGCCCTCTGAAAAATAAAATAAAAACCTCCCTAAATCTCCATACATTTGAATTGGGAAATGTGTTTTATAAGTACTTTTACCTTTTAGAGTCAAAAATATATAAAATTAGACTGTGTTATTCATTTATGTTAGAAACATTTAAACTACTTACAAAAGGTATTCTAGGAACAGGATAAATCGGCAGTTACCAGGGAATTCCCTGCTCTTAAGAGCATGTTGCTCTAGTAATGATTTCTGTACCAAGGGCAAATTTCCACCCAGTACTATGGTCTGATCAGTGTGCTTCTCCCCACTAGTTACACATCAGAGTCACGTAGCCCAGTATACTGGATCATTCCAAAGTAGGTTTTTCCCAGGCACACATATTTAAACACAACACAAAAACCTCCTGAGATTTTTTTAGTCAAACAAATTCACCTAAGGCCAGATAGGTAACACTAGGTGAATGGAGCAGGTTAGACAGGAGGAGCTGTGAGACCTAAGAGCTGCACCCCATCAACAGGGGCTTTGACTTACTGTAAAACTGTGATATGGCCACACTTAAAGATTTCAACAGAAACACTGAAGTCTGAGCTTTCAGTGAAATGTACCAACTTTTAAAACACGATAGGCCAAGGGAACCTCTCTAGAGGCAAGATTTGCCAAGCCTCTGGCTTAGAATTACCAGGAAATACACACACTTATTTCTGGTCCCTCATCTAGTTATGAATCATGGACTTCGAAGAATTCATTATACATGGGGCCGGCAAGTGGTGCAATGGTTAAGGGTGCTGGACTCCCACATGGCCCACCATGGTTTGAGTTCCAGACCTGGTGGCTTGCTTTCTCACTTTCTCTCCCTCTCTTTCTCTCTCACTCTGTCATTCTCTGACCAAATTTTAAAAATAAATAAATAAGGTTAAATAAAATGATTCTTTAAAAAAAAAAGAATTCATTATATATCAGAAAGGAGAATTAGGGACCAGCAGTTAGCGTAATGGCTATGTGGCTGGACTCCCATGTAGTCGACAGCGGTTCGAGTCCCGGACCTGGTAGCTTAAACTCACACTGGGTGCGTGCATGCGTGTGTGTGTGTGTGTGTGCCCAAGATCCCAAGAGGAGAATGGAGGAGAAGGAATTATGGTGTGGCCATCCCCCCTGGGGGGTGATTTCTCGCTGTCTCTATGTCTCTCTCTGTCTTTCTGGCAAGCGCACGCGCCCTATAGCAAAAACCTCTCAAAAAAAAAAAACAAAAAAGAAAGGAGAATTAAATTCATATATTACCATTTACATTTTCTAAATTAGAAAATAAAAACTCCTGAAGGAATGAGGTGAAGAGCAGATGACTCCATGGAGCTATTATCATTTGCAGATGTCTACACCTGAAAAAAAATTAAATCAGCCTTCTGTTCAATATAGATGCCTGGGAGAAGAGACAAGGTCTAGAACAAATGATAGTACTTTTTCTCTGTCTTCCTTTAGATCTCAGCTCAAGTGCCACCTCCACAAAGAGGACTCTTCTGACAACCTTGCATAAAGGAGGGTGTCTCCTCTGATACTGTTTGCTTCATAACATTTTTGACAATTTGAGATTTGTCTGTTTATCAATTTTTATCTCTGTTCTCTACTAATTCATAAATTTCTTATGATTAAGAAGTTAGGGGCTGTCTTCTCAAAACCAAGGATAGTATCTAGTACATAAATACTCATTAATACTGGTTAATAAATACTCGTTCCATGAAGGCAAAAACCACAGTTTATTGTCTTCATCATGCTGTCAGTAGCCAGAAAAGTGCCTAGAACATGGTATATGCTCAAATATATTTATGAATGAATAACTATCATTTCAGCCTTTCATCTGGCAGGAACACTGAATCCCAAAGAAGGTGAGAAGTCAACCCCAGGGGTCATAGATAGGTCTAGAATCTAGCCCTCCTAACTCCTGTTCTGCTGCATCAAAATGAGTGGGAACTAAGGCAGTCACCTTCTGCAATGGCTCTTGTTTCCATAGCTCTTGCATTCTGTGAGCATGTAGAATTACCACCACATGCATGCCACCAACCTCTGCCACTTCCATGTTCCAGAGTAGCAGGCAGAGAAGCAGCCTTAAGAGCTGGTGTAGTTGCACTTGGAGGTAATGACCACTGTTCTGGGATGCACAGAGTAGAGTCCTGATGCAGTTCAGGACAGCAAGCCCATCCTCGGTTCATATCCTGAAAACATTTGGCTCTCCTAGGCTTCTTGGCCCATTATTTAAGGGGCAGCCCTGAAGAGCTCTGAAATGTCCTTGAGATCTTTATATCATTGAGTTGACAGCACCTATATCTCTTCTATTAGTGTTAATTTCTTTAACAACTAGTCACTTGGCTACACTTCTAGTTTTCTTCCAA